ATGTGAGCAGCGAAACGGCCAATCCTTCTACGATCCGTTTTTGATGGCAAAATTGCCGCTGACGACTACTGACCATAAAAAGGAACGAATGAAAAGTGAAAAAAGCTCTTAAACTTCGAAAACATTCGTTGAAAGACGGTGCCATCGATAGTCTTGCCAGAGGATGGTTACTATTGGTACTGTTTGCGACTTAGGCTATTTCGAAGTAGCCAAATATCTCACAAGCAAGAGAAGCGATTCCACATTTTTAGTTTTTATAGGAAAGCATTTTTAAATTTTATATTTTTCTCCCTATGTAAACAGCAGGCCAAAAATTTCAGCATTATGAAATAACAAAATCCTAGTAGACGGAAAGGTGCATGGGATGAAAAAAGAAATCAGAAAAAGCTAGGAGTTAAAATCTCCCGGTATCTCATAGGCTAAGGCATTCAGAAGTAGCCCGAGTGGTAAGAGGGAAGATTTACGGAGTGCTGTTTGATGGTGGCCGTGAGAGGAAAACACACTTCTCGTTAGTTCGCTGGACAGCACTGCTATTTTTCATGAGGACATTATCCGCAACACTGGCACGGTAGGTGTTTTTTGCACCGTCCGGTATTGTTAGTCGGCTCGATACACTGCACACATCGATGAGCCACTGTCTTCGATCCCTGCTGACAGCAGCCACTGTGGCTGCTGGAACGCCTGCCACTGCACCACTGATGTTCTGAAATGATCACAGCACCTCTGATCACTGCATTCAATCGTACTTCGATGCATTTATGCCTCTCTGCCCTGCCTTCTTCATTTTATTGTCCCTCAAGAGTGGCAACACCCGGGAGGACGAGGTGCTAATGTCTAGTATGAAAAGAGAGAAATCTGCAACAAAGAGCAGAAAATGGAAATTTACTTATCTTGGCCTATTACTCAGCAACACAGTGCTGAAGTTCCTCCAAAAAAACGTAGTGCTTAACTCTCCCTCTCTCTCTCTCTCTCAGCATTTCACGCAAACAGATAACGATGAGAGAGCGCTCGCTGCACCTTCTCATCGTTGCTTCA